GAAATTGTTTTTCTGATTTCTTCTATGTTCAAAGCTGTTTCTACCTTTTGCACTTGAAGGATGGCTTGGCTAGATAATAAAATCCTTTGTTCACACTTTTTCTGTATAGCTTGTAGTTATTGTTCCATTGTCTTCTGCCACTGAATATTGCTATGGAAAATCTGGGGCCAGGTTTTTTGTTTTTAGTCTGGCTGCCCAGAGAGCCCTTATCTTTCAACTGTGCTAAGTGTACTAGGATATATCTTAATGTTGACCATTCTCATCCAGTTTTCCCTGGCCCCTACTGTGCCCTTTTAATATATAGATTCATCTTTTATTTCAGGAAAGTCTTCTTAAATTTAATCTGAATTATTTTGTTCTAGTCTATTGGTTTGGTTTTCTGCTTCAAAAATCGAGTTATGCAGAGGTTGTGTTCTCTTTGCTTGTCATCTATAGCTGTAATTTTTTTCTCTAGTTTTTTAAACTATTTCCATTTCGTTTTGTTAGGTCCTTAATTTTTCCCAAATGCTTATTCCTTGTGCTTCTTCTCATTTTTCTTCTTCAGTTCTATGATAGTTTTGATTTGTTCTTACTTTTCCCAAGTTCTGACTATTCACATTTTTATCTCTTCCATGTCTCACTATCTCTTTGCTGAGTTCTTATTCTGCTTTGTGATTACTCTTAATAGAGGTGATTGGATTAAGTTTTAAAAATTCATGCCATAATGTTTACTCAGAATTTTCATGTATTCCTTGGCTATGCTGTTCTGATGCATGTTCATCAGGTAAGTTTTGGTTCTCTTTTCCTGTTTTAATTTAAAAATTAAATATCTTTGAATTGGTGCTGTGCTATTTTTTAAAAAATTCATTACTCATCATAAAATGACTGGCATTACCCTGCCCTAGCTCTTTGTGGGAAAGTCCCATGGGGAGTGTGTGTGTAAAGGGGCGCTGGGGACAGGGCAGCCTTCCCTGCTTAACACTTGCAATACTCTCTGCTTCACTGTTTCCACAGACACTCTGCTTCCTGCTAAAATGGCCTTTCTGTATAGCCCTGCCCTCTCTGCTTCTCTGAACCCAGCCGTGTCCAGGAGGTCGTCTGCTGCCAGCCCTGCTGCCCCTCTGCCCACTTCCTTTGCTACACCAAAGGGGTGTATCTTTTGCACTTCAGGGTGAGCCCCTCACCTTCAGAGCACACAGTTGCTCGCGTTTCCTGAGACGTGATGCCCGGGGCTATCTACTCTCGCTCATCGTATTCTCCCCTTCTTCCTGCCTTCTTCCCAGTAAGGCCTCTGCTTTGTCTCCACTATTTCTGCTCTAGATTTCATGGTTCTTCTAATATGTAAAGGATACACATTGTCACTCACGTGAGGGTGAGCCCATACTCACAGAAGGTATATTTTGCTGGCATCTCCTGTGATCTTTTGCCATTGGGCTTTCTCATTATTTGCTTCCCTCTCTCATCTTGGGATCATGGCTATTAGCTAATTTTAGTAGCCCTTGTACAGATTCCTTGAATTGTTTTGCTGAAAATGAAACTCCCCCTCCCCCCCATTTTCCTTGTTTGTTTTGTATATTATCCAGGAGGAGAAGTTGGTGTTCCATGGGGCATATTTATAGTGGAGGTCTGGTGTACTCTTTAAAAGGATCTCTAAGGTCCCTGTATTGAGAATAGACTTTTAGAGGAATAGGGGTGGAAGTTGGGAGCAGCTGTTATGAAGCTCTTACAGCTTTCAGGTGTATTAATGATGGACTGCATCACAGTGGTCACTGTGGGAATGGTGAGAAGTGTTAAATTCTGGATGTATTTTGAAGGGAAGCCATTTGGGATTGCTAATGGATTGGTCGAGTGTGAGAGAGGGGAGTCATTTGCAGCATGTATATCCGTCTTTCAAATGCTTCTCTGCACTGGAGAGCTTACAGCTGTCTTTAAGTGGGTAGGACCTATTCACAGGGAGACTTCCCCTGTGGCACTTGCCATCTTGCCTAGTTGTCAAAATGAGCAGGACTTTACTTATTTTATGTATCAGGTGGAGTCCTTTGGTGTATTTAAATTCTGAGTGGAACTGATTTTCCTTTGTTGCAGGTCTGTTGTAAAGGCCTTGAGTGCCCATGGGCTCGAGTCTGCTTCTCTTCCTGGTCCCAGCAGCCACATCAGGGACCTTCCAAATGCACATCTTCCATTCTGCTTAGAGCGGGTTCTTGGGCCCTGCCTGGGGTTAATGTGCTGTAGCCAGCTGCTCCACATACAGGGGAGAGCCTACCTAGCCATTCCTTAGTCATCTCACGAGCTGTCCTGATGATTGCCTTAAAGCTACTCCTGCTTGCTAAACTGAGGATCCTTGGCCAAAAAGAATGGCTTCCAAATCTGGTGAGGGCTCTTTCAGTGTGTATTTGGATTGTGCTTCTCTCTACTTAGGTTATTCATTATTAATATGATCCCATTTGCTTTCTTCCAGAAATTTATCAGAATTTCTGGTCTCCTGTTGTTTTAGTGCTGCCATGGTTATATTATTTTTTATTTTTGTTATTTCGGTGGGATAGTGGGACAGAGGGCAAGCGAACTCCTTTGCTTCCTGTCTGCCATCTTGATCTGGTTGTTTGTGTTGCTCCTTAAGAATTGAGGGAGGGGAATATGGAAGAAAAAGAACTGGGGAAGGATAAGATTTTTTAGATTCAGATGTTAGAAAGTGAGTAATATGTAATATACTGTTCATTCAGGGCCTTAATATTTCTGGCTTATTTTGCTTTTCATGGCTGCTCAATTGTGGTATGGTATAATTGAGTGTAGTTTACGTTTTTTGAAGAGTCCACCTTAGAGAGTGGAATCTGAGAAAATAGAATTGAAAATGATCTATCTAGGGCCGGCTCCGTGGCTTGGCGGTTAAGTGTGCGCGCTCTGATGCTGGCGGCCCGGGTTCGGATCCCGGGAGCGCCCCGAGGCACCACTTCTCCGTCCAACGTGAGGCCGAGTCCCACGTACAGCAACTAGAAGGATGTGAACCTATGGCATGCAACTATCTACTGGGGCTTTGGGGGGAAAAAACTGAATAAATAAAATCTTTAAAAAAAAAAAAAGAAAATGATCTATCTAGTTTATGTCCAAGGGAAGTCTTACATCATCCATATTTAGTTTCTGATTAGTTACCTACCTGTAATCATGTGATTTTAGGAAACAACCTATAATATTATATTTTTCCTTTATTGGGAAAAATGTATTACCTTAAGTTTTAATAAGAGATAGGATATATAGAAGACTGCTTTGGAGAAGATACTCTGAACTTTTAAGAATGAAATCATGTTTTAAATGTAGAGTTTGCATAAGTAGCAAAATTAAGTATATTGAAACATTTTCCCTTTGTATTAAATTCCTTCAAAATACATTTCCTTACTAGTCTGTGATACCAAGTGCTGTGGGTATTAACTGCAAAGGTAAACCTCACTACTATTTATAATGGTTTTGTGTTTGTGTACTAAATTGGAAAGGTATTTTATGATGTCACGTGGGTTGGGTGACAGTAATATTTCATGTTTCATATTAATATTTAATATTAATGCATTTAGGCAGGAATTAGGATAAAAGCTTGCCCATGGGCCAAAGGTAGGGCTAGTTCATTCTTCTGTGTAGCTCAGGCTAACTAAATTTGTCGATCTTATTCTAATATGTTTCTCATTTTAATCTACCCAAGGTGCCTTCCCAAACCCCTTCTAGAATTAGCTGTTGCCAAGATGAATGCTCAGGCATGTTACCCAGAAATGTGTATTTTTACACAGTGGAATGCATTTTCATAAAAACTAGAATTTGAACCCAGCCATTGTTATTTGAGTTCTCTGTCCAGGGAGAACATTGAGAACAGTTTGTTTTGGTGTGTCTCAGGACCACCCTCGGATTTGGTGATTCGGTAGGACACGTGGGACTCAGCATGTAGTTGTATTCAGGGCTAAGACTTGTTCTAGTGAAAGGCTACAAAACAAGATCAGCAAAGAGAAAAGGTGCAGGGGGCAAAAGCCAGAGGAAGCCAGGTGGAAGATTCAGAGTCTCTGTGATACCATACAGGACAAGCTTAATTCCTCAACATGTGTGAAGTGTTGGCTACCAGGGAAGCTTGTTAGAGACCCAGTGCCCTGGGTTTTTACTGGGGGCTAGTCAGGCAGGCATCTTCTGCCCAACTCATACTAAAATTCCAGACTCCCAGAAGGAAAGAAGATGTTTAGCATAAACCACATTGTCTCTACAAACAGATTAGGCATGGTGAGCCATGCTTATCAGGGAGTGTTGGGAACACTCCTGAAATCCAACTTTCCAGACGCCAGCCAGGGGCCAACCTTGCAAGCAGGGCTGTCTAAGGATAACAGTCTCAGGCCTGCTATTTTGACTCTTTTCTGCATAACATTAGATATCCAGATGCCTTTTATTTTCTAAATATTTAAAATAATCTAAAAGAAAAGAAAAGATGTAATGTAGATGTCATCAGACTTCCCATACCAGGCCTGTGTGTGTTTTCAGTTTTGGTTGACACTTCAAAAAAAATCAGGTTTGTGCTAGTTTGTGTTGAAACCTGTGGGTGATTTAGTCACTCTGATGGCTGGTGGTTCCTCTTGCCCCCTTTCTAAGCCTCTGATTCTTCTGAACTGTGGACCTGACCATACAGATTGCTTTGCCACTGTCTTATTTTCCTCTGTGACAACCACCTCAATCTTAGTGATGGTAAGGTTAGTCTGTGATAAAGTGCTGATATTAAGTCAAAGGTGTGGGAAGATCATGTGGGAGGGTGGGCAGATGAACAAAGAGCAGTGAGTTTTATTGAATGGGAGTAGTGAGCCACCTACCTTCAGCCTTAATTATGCCTTTTATAAGTTTGTGAACAAAATTATGAAGGTGATATCACTTCTTGGGCTCTTAGCTGTAATGGCAAAAGAGTGAAGGGGCTGAGGATGACCTTGGTATCAAATCTGCAGGATAAGTAAAGGTCCCAAATTATAATTCCTCTTAACAGTATTTTCTTAAACATATTTTGACAGCTATTCAGGATTACGAAACTGCTCAGGAACACAATGAAAACGATCAGCAGATTCGGGAAGGTCTAGAGAAAGCGCAAAGACTATTGAAACAGTCGCAGAAACGAGATTATTATAAAATCTTGGGAGTAAAAAGGTGAATTATTAATTCAAAATTTGCATAGTTATTTTTAACCAACTCTGTTTTAAAGCTAATCATTGCTCTTTTTTTCTCTCTGATTCTTTTCCTTATGTAATTTCAGTCATAGATTAAACTCTAACAATCTTTAACATCATAAAGCTATTTTGAGTGTTACAGATAAATTTCTTTGATAGAGATGAGTAATGCAGCAATGCAGAATTAGTAGTTAGTGACAAAGATATGACACCGTAGCACAAATAGGTGCTAGGCCTAGATTTTTTAAGAAGGGTAAAGAGGTAGGAGTGAGCTTTGTGTTGGTGGGGATAGAAGAGAGAGAGGGGACGAGGAAAAGAAAACTCCTTTAGGCCTAAAAATAAAGTGGCACTTTTAGAATTAACTTGCAGGCACTGGGAGATACATAATTTACTCAATATGTGCTTTTATATAAGAGCCACCTTCCCTGAACAAGGAAACCATCAGTCTTTCAATCAAAAGTCTGAAACTTTGTTCTTATTAAGTAAGCTAATCCAGAAGCAAGATAGAAAGGGTCAAAGTATCTTTTTTAATGCTAAGAATTGAATCATGGTAGCTTGGAAATTCAGAAAGTTTAAAAATGAGTCTATGTGATTTTTTTTATGGGAAAATTGTAAAAATCAGGAGTACTTTAATTTATTCCCAGTGAGATTCTAATCTTAGTGAACAAGTATCCAGCTTTAATGATCATCTAGAACTGTCTGTCACACGTTCAGCCTGTGACACCACTGGCACTATTAGGAAAACCAGGTTGCTCATTTCCTAGTGGGATCTTAGCACTCTCTTTTAGTATTTTGTGGCAGTGTGATGGACGCTTCTTAACTCATGATAGTTAATTTTTATCACCCCTTAGAAATGCCAAAAAGCAAGAAATCATTAAAGCATACCGAAAATTAGCAATGCAGTGGCACCCAGATAACTTCCAGAATGAAGAAGAAAAGAAAAAAGCTGAGAAAAAGTTCATCGACATAGCAGCTGCTAAAGAAGTCCTCTCTGATCCAGGTATACTCTGCGTTTAACGTTTCTGTTCTCTTGGAGTGGTGGAATCAGTGATTGGCGACTTACTAGCTCTATTCCTTTGTCCACCTGAGAGGCAGTGTCAGAAGTGGGAGGTGGAGAGCGTGGTGGGCTCACCTCGGGAGCTGGTGACTGGTGGCTGGCCTTGCAGGGTCAGAAGTCCAGTTTTATGTCTGCCCCCATCAGACTCGGGGACCCTCATATGCACAGTGCAGGGGAAAGACCATCAAACGTGGAATCAGAAGGCCTGAGTTTGAATCTTATCTCTACTTGAACAAGTTACTAGAATTTTTTGGGCCTCTGTTTTTTTCACCTGTGATATGAAAGTACAACAGTGAGCGGGATCTCTTAGGTTCCGTCCAACTTCCCAATCAGTGATGGATTCTAGCAAATTTACAGAAGCTTAATTAGGAAACAGGATGCCAGGGTGGAATGTCCAGTGGTGCGAGAAGAGCATATACCTAGCCCAGGGGCTGCCTGCCTCTGTGAGTGTGCGCCCCAGGGATCATGCCCTAAATCAAAAGATCATTAGACTTACTCGTTGCTAGAAATGTTTTTATCATATCCTAAAATGGCCTGGAAAATAAGAGGGAGACAAGAATTTAGGTAACGCTGAACAATGCTTGGACATTTCCAGGGGAAATTTAATGTTGAGCTAATACCTACTGCTTTTTTGTGGCTTTCCATGTCAGTGGGAACAGAAACTATGACTTGAGCTAGACAAATTCAACAAAAATAGAAGGAAATTGTTTTATGCCCATTTGACAAATCTTTTTTGAACACCTACGTATGCTTTGGAAATCAAGTTAAATGATCCTTTGTTCTCAAGTAATTTATAATCCAGTAAGAAAAACAGAAATGTACTTAAACAGGTACAGTAGGATACATAACTGTTTGTTCTTTTATTCAACACATATCGAGTGCCTACAACATCCCTTGAATGCTTCTGTCCTCTTCCCTTGTGTGGGGCACAGGTGGGGCAGCTACATCAGATGGGTGGTTAGGAATCTTAGGGGAGGCGGGCTCTGGAGCTGAGCTCTGAGGGTAGCAGGGCACTAGCCCAGGGAGTTGGGGCTGACAGTTACAAAGGCACAATTGAGAAAAGAGCTGCATTTTTAAATACTAAGAGGTCTTTTTTGTTCTGTTCCTTTTTCTTAACCCCTGTTCTTATTTTAAGGATGAAATAGCTTTTTCTAGTCCCTCTGAGGATATTAGCCTGCTCTCTGCCACCTGCAGTGTTCCTTTCTCCCGTTGGTTGGCCCTGGTCTCTGTTTCGTCAGGGACTTTCCTCAGCGCTGACAGGCACAGCAGTGGAGGTAGCCTCCTGGACTGTGCACTAGGAGGCCTCCCTCCCCTCAGGTCTGAGGAACCCTAGTTCTGTTCAGATGTAGCAGTGAAGCACTAGAAAGCTGATCAAACGCTTCATGGGTTGATGAGGTTGTGCCTGGCTGACTTCCTTATTGGGGTTAGGATGGTGACATGGCTGTTCGGTCAGAAGAACATGACTTTTGGAGGTCTCTTTCTCTGCAATTATTCATTTTTTCCAGGGAAGAATTTCATTGAGTACCCGTTTTCACCTCTGAACCTCACTCCCTTCTCTGAGACTTGGGTTTCTGGAGTCTCTTTCTCTGAGACCAAACCTCTGATCTGGGTGGGAATGGGAGAGCTTCGTTTAGAGTATTGGGCACAACTCCTCCCCTATACCTTAGTCAACACCTAGGTCTTAATTTGCTGGTTTCTTTTATAGAAATGAGGAAGAAGTTTGACGACGGAGAAGATCCCCTGGATGCAGAGAGCCAACAAGGAGGCGGTGGCAGCCCTTTCCACAGAAGCTGGAACTCATGGCAGGGGTTCAATCCCTTCAGTTCAGGCGGACCTTTTAGGTTTAAATTCCACTTCAATTAAACCAGCTGTTTTTCTGGTCTTCTTAATTTTTTTTAAAGATTAAAAACAAAGAAACCTTGTTCCGGGATCCTAATGAAAAAAATTTCAAATCTTTCAGTTTGTCCATGACCAAAGAGTTGTTTTAAGAGGAAAAATCTGTTCTTATCCATTTTAGACTTGAGGTTGATGGGTTTGCGAGGGCAGGGAGGTGAGGAATGGTTCCATGTCTGACAAAGCAGCCTGTGTCTGTTGGAGTGTCTGGAAGAAGTGGTCTGAGGCAGACTCACCTGTGCAAGTGCTCACATATTTTGCATTTTTCTACCCTGGAGCATGTAGAAATTATTCTTTTCTTCACAGTCTTGCATAGTATGTCAGTGCTACACGTGTAAGGAGCTATAATCTTCATGAGAATGGGTTGTATTTCAGGATTCTTAAAGAGAATATTAACATTTTGAGCTGTATGTTCTTGGGGACAACTTTGCTGAGGTTTTGGTCAGTCCAGTCACTTGCAACTATCTGTTAAATTTCAGAGCCTCCTTTAATCTACATGCGTTTCCATCTCTACTGGCCCAAACGTGGCTGTCATTGAAGGAGGGACAGAGCGCATCTTTTAGAAAACCTGCACCAAATGGTTGTTGATATAGCCAGGTTTAAACTTTGGATTGATGTTAAGCATATATTTTATGGTTTTTTTGTTCAGTACCTGCAAGAGAATACTGAAAACTACCGAAACAGAATTAATTGTAAAAACCTATGGGCCCTTTTGTTTAATACGAAACACAACAAATTAACTAAAAGATAAGTAATATATAAAATAGCTTTAGATAATATTGCAGTGGTATTATTTAAAATAATATTGCTGAAGTGCAGAATGAAATGCTTTAACAACTGAAGTTGTGAATTAAACAGAATTTCCTGTAACAGCATTGGCTTAGAAATGTAAAGTTGCACAGTCAACATAAATAAACAGAATGCCATGTTTCCCACTTTTAATGAATAGAGTGGGCAGCTTCTCCTCCGTCCTGGCCGAGCCTCTAGGACTGCAGTGACTCCCACGTGGGCCCTGTTTGAGGTGGGGGTGGACAGCAGCCCTGCCCCTTCACCAGACCTGATGCCTCTGCATGTTCCTCCTGCCTATAAGAAAGTACAGGTTTACACATCTACTTAGTTCTGGCTGTATTTCCACTCTCGAGAGGGCATCTCTTCTTGGAGTACCTTCTGCTTACCTTTTAAGAATTGAACTATTCACTCTTTGTATACTGGATAATTTTTTCCCTAAAAAAGGAGTGTTAAGAACATTAAATATTTATGGAACTAATGATGCTGCATTTAAAATCTAAGAGAATTACTTTAGATAAGAATTATTACCTTTATTCTGGAAAGGTTTTTTGTTTTTGCCTTAGAGCATTTTGAAGCATTTTAAGCAGGGTCTAATAATATATTATTTGTATGAAATCAAGCATTTTCATTTTAGTTGTGGGAGGCATCCTGACCACTAATGTCTGCAATAGCCAAGCACAAATCATTTTCTTTTATAGTTATCCTGAAACATATGTGGAAAAAAATTTTTTAAACTCAGAGAAATCACATAGTTGAGTAAAACACGTTAAGTGCTTTTTGCATCTATTTAAAAGTCTATTTCTTACCAATAAACTTAACTGCATTTTGAAAACTAGTGAACAGCTTGTAGCTTTCATTTTATTTTAATGTCTCAAAATTCAAACCAGTGTGAAAATAATTTCCAAGGGAAATGCCTTTTTGTTTAATCTCAGTAATCTCACTACTTCACTAGTTATAGCAACGTTTTTTTTCAATCTGGTTCTTTCATATATGATGTCACTGTGACCTCTTTGAAATCTAGCAAGGGCCTCTACCTACTTTCAAAAGAATTTTCACACAGAATCTGAACAAAGGGAATATCAAATCACTTGCCTTTCCATTCGGAGGAGAGGACGAAAAGTTGCCAACAAGGAGCCAGAGGGAGTCAGATGGTTGAGGGCTGGGCTGCACGGGAGATGTGTCCCCGCACCTGTTCCCTCGCTGCCTGCCGGCCTGCTGCCCAGAGGGTTGTTTGCATTGTTTTTTCTCCACTTGTAATGACCATAATTCCTGTTCCTCAAGTCTTGCTGTGGATTTCATTTAGTGGATTTAACTGTAACTGAAACGTGCAGTTACTTGCTTGTTTTCAGTGAAAGAGGGGAAGCTATGGTGCCACCTGCCAACGCCACTGAGATATTAAGTCTCTGGAGTCTGTTGCTTTGCTGATTAAGGAAGAAGATAATGACCTTGAACTTTCAGCCTTGACAGGGGTCAGCGGTCTTCTGGTATCCAGCTCAGTGGAAGGGCAGTCATTCATGCGTTCCCTGACAGTGACTGAGAACTCCGGGTGTGTGAAGGGAAAGTCCTTCCTCCTGCCAGCCTGATGGTGGAGCTCATTGAGCAATGAGGAGTGTGTGACTGAAGAAGCATTTGATTTGTTTTTGGGCTACTTCTACTTACCGGTTTCCAGTTTCTGTTTTTGGGGACTGCAGTTGCCTAGTAGCCTTTGTGGCTCTTTCTGGAAAAGTAAAATCAGAGGGGTACCTAGCCTTAGCTGTATTACGTTCCCTTTGTAAACGCCTCCCTTCTTTTCTGGTGAGCTCCAGAAGTGAAGTATCGCTGGTCTGTACATTGTGGACATTTTCCACAGCAGCAGGTATTACACACATCAGCCTATACACGTGAACAAGTTCTAAAAAGAGGTAAATTATTACCCAATTTTGAAAGTTTATGCTTTCTTATCATGGATAAATGAAAACTTGAAAACAGCTTCAATGGTTTACTAATATGAATTGGATGTAACATAATACTAATTTTAAAATGTCTTTCTCTTTAGACAGTATTAAAAGTTTATTTTAAATATCAGTATGAAAACAGAACTTTTTGGGACTGATCATGGAATGTAAAAACCCACAATTTTTTGTAAAAACCCACAGTTTTTTTAAGAGAAAAATACTACTGATAACCAAGTAGACAAAAAAGCTAACAGAATCACAATTTGAAATTGGCACCATTTTCTATTCATGGTAGAAAAGGAAAGATTTCACCTTTAAAGGCATGAATTTGTATGTGACACTTATGAAAAAAATGCCTAAGATGCTTAGGTTAAAAATGGCTCCTCAGTCAGGTCTGTGTTAGAGCCGACTGCTGTAAAAGGTATAGGGCACTGGTGATGGGCCTTGCAGCAAGTTTTCATTAAGTACACATCAGCCGTAAAACCTAGGGAAATTCATGCAACTTTGTTGAATGTAATTGACTTTTCCATATTTATAAAGGAAGGAGGAAGGCAAATGCTAATTTGTCAACAAACAATATGCTTATTCTAAGATCATTCCTTTTTAGTAGCAGAGTTTATTCTGTAATTGCAAATGACATTATTAGGTGGGGATAATATTTTTATGGATGATCTCATTTGTTGAATGATTTAAGAGTAAAATTAGCCACTGCGTGGCTCTGTGTCTAGTACCAGGTTTTGTTGCACTCGTCTTGGTTGACCCTCTCACTGGCAGTGGAAAGCAGAGCGTGGAGTAGGTAAAAACTGGAGATGTCTGATGTTAAAATATTACTCCTACCGTGAGGCTATAGTTGGTTTTGAATGCGACAAAACTAAGTAACTTAATCCATCTCAATTTAGTGTTTTAATAAAAAAAACTGAAAATTAATTGAAATGGGTCTCAGACATGTCTACAAATATGGGTACTATTTTTATGCCCGTGTATTTTCACATTTAATAAAAATATTTATGGTCAAATCAGTACCTTCTTGCTTTTTTTTCATTTTTAGTCTTTTGGACAAGTCTGTTTCCAACTCTGCTTTACACATAATCAGTCAATGAGGAGACAAAAGGGCTCCTCCTTATTAGTTTAAGTCAGAGCACAAAAAGCAGAAATGGCTAAAATCTCTTAACCCTGAAAGTCCTAGGACAGCTAGGCCTTAAAGGGGACACTTCTTCAATTGCAGTACTATTAAAATCTAATACTTATATTGGCTTTGTTTGGAGACTTTCTCCTTTATACTAGCATTTGCACATTTCTGTTAAGGTCCTGAAAGTGGGGTGGGGGACTGGGGGACCAGGACGGACACTGCTGCCCAAGTCTCATTCGTTCTTCTCAGTTATACGTTCTGCATATCCTAAAAGGACAGCTAGAATACTTACATAGAACTTTCCCAGAAAGTGCAAAGTTTCCAAATCTTGATAGTCAATTCATGATATTTTGCAGTATATGAGCAATCAAGCCTTAGTCTAAAGACAATGGAAATATCCGCACAGGCTGCCGGGAGAAGAGGGGAGGAAGGGAAGAAGATCCAGGCTCTCTTCCCAGATCCCCAGGAGTTATGACTTGGCAAGCACTCATCCCCTCCCCCTCCCTACCTCCATGCCCGAATCGTGTTTGATGATGGGAAAAAAAAAAAAAATCCAATCATCATTGTAATCTTAAGGCATACAGGTTACACCCTGGGGACCCTAAACTCTGCAAACCTTTACCTGCTGAGGAAATCCTTCCTTGAGAATAGATGGTCAACAGAAGCATAACATGCAAATTTATTTGTCACTGCCTTACACTAGGATTCAGTTCCTAACAAGGAGGCATCCAGGTGACAACTGCAAGGCTGCAGTCTTGTGAATGTTTCCAACCTTCATTCACTAAGGGGTCACTCTGCTAGACGTCACTTCTGGTTTAGACAGACAATCCCAGGGACTTAGCAGCTGGATTTGGAAGGGCCACTGGGAAAATCAGTTCCAAGGTCTTTCTGAGGAAATTGCTAAAAACCATGAAGGAGAAACCATTGCTTGCAGCTTTTCTTAGTGGATTTAAATTGTTCTAAGTCTTTTCGGTATCTGCATATTTCCTTGTTACAGATTTCTATTCTATAGGTGTATGCTTGAGCACAGTTTGTCATTTGTATGTAAGTATGTAAAGGATTTTTTTCCTTACACTGGTTTCCCTAAATGGATGTGGTTTTTCTCTCAGGTGTGGAAGATGCTTTGAAGATAGCAAAGGATAACTCTTCTAACAATTACCGTTTCACTGTATTAGGTTTTTCTTAGGATTTTATTAATAC